CATCGCCGCCGTCAACTCCCAATACTCCATCGTCACCTACGAAACCCTCACTTCCCCAGACTGTCAACCAGTCCCCATGGGTTGCTCAGGTACATACGCAGGTACCTCTTTCCAAGTCATCGACAACACGGGCGCCAAGGTTGGATCTGCCGTCGTCTCCACCGAAGCCTTTGTCAGTGGTGATATCGTCACTATCGGGACCGATAAGGTTTGCTGGCCTTATGTCGATATGACATGGGATTTGAGCACGGAAAAAAGTAGCGGAACCCCAGTTTCGAAAATGTCTTTCGCTTGTGCTAGTTTGAGCGGTAACTCGACTACCACTGCTTCTTCTTCTACTGCTTCGGTAGTTGCTAGCTCCGCTGCTGCTACTGTCGCCGCTAGCTCTATCTCTAGCTCAGCCGCCGCGGTCGTAGCGTCTACTTCCTCCGCAAACGTCGCTATCGTTTCCTCCCCCGCCTCATCCTCCATCGCATCTCCATCCATCGCACTCTCCGCCTCCTCAGCAGCCGGTCTCGAAATCTCTAGCTCAGCTCCAGCTTCAGCGTCTGCTTCCCTCATCGCACCAGTTTCCTCGACAGCAGCGATCTCTTCCCCCGTCCCTGCGAGCACAACTCTCGCAACTAAAACGAGAAGCAAGCACACTAAATCTGCGTATACGGAAGTAGCTACTTCGTCGGTGGTTTCGTCTGCTGCGTCGGCTTCTACTGCGAGTGGAGAGTCCGCCGGGGAGGTGAGTGGTGTTGTTTGGGTTGATGCGGATGAGTGTGATGGTGAGGAAGAGTATTAGATGAGTGAGGAGGATGTGAGGAGGATGGTGGTTGGATAGGGAGTGGGAAGATAAAGTTGAAGACGAAGATGAAGCGAGGGAAAGAAGGAAGAAAGGAAGGGCTAGGGTGGAAATTTATGTTTACATTCTTGTATATATACTACTTGATTGCGATGGGAAATATGCTTAGGTATATATACTATATCTATATCTATGTGTATGTGTATGTGTATGTGTATGTGTATGTGTGTGTGAATCCGCTTTGCATGATATGAATCTTTCCTGTGCGTATTTCATCTTTTATAATGTGATGTAGTGTAATCTAATCTAATGTAATATGCACATAAACTCATCTCTAATGAAATCTCATGTCCTGAAAAAATCTATATTCTCATTCCGAGTTTCTTATGATATGGAGAGAGGGTTAGAGTTCAGTAGGGTAGAATTGAGTAGAGTAGAATGGGAATTCAGTGTTGTTGTTTTTTGTTTCTCTGGAGATGAGTGGATGTTCTGGGGGGAGAGAGAGGGATGAGGATGGAGACAGAGGAAAATAAAATGTAGAGGGTAGATGGAGATTGTGTATACATCTAGAAATTCGGAAGCTGAGATGGAGCAAGAAAAGGTTTGTTCGGGGGTGATTGATTCAATTTGATCATTAGGATAGTGTCTTGAGGAGAGGATGTATTATTTATATGGTTCTCCTGATCTGGGTATTACATATCTATATATCTATGTATGCATGAACATGGCTGCTTCTTCAACTTGTCATTCTCTGACCTCTTTCTGCCGTTGGATCAAAAGTGGCGAGTCATATGTCGTTTCTGAATAAGGAGATAAATGGCGTTGGGAGTGTGCATTTGTGTGTATGAATATAAAACTCACACGATACCAGTATTCCATACAACTTAAACCCGTGCAGCAATTGGCATCTAAACAGCAAGAAACTTCTCTCAAGAGTATGGAATGTAGAAATCGTAAGATGACTCTTCTTACAGTATATCTTCTAGGTATTTATCTATTGCATCATCGTATTGATAATTCGATATAACCTCCTTCAAGAAGATATACTATGAATGAGAAATTCTAATCACTAGAAGTAGAATTTCTCATACTGTTGGATAATCGAATGAAGCGAATTTGTATTATCATGGTTGGTTGTCCTTGGATATGTATATACTATCATATTAAGAGCCCTCTCAAAATTGAAAAGTAGATTGTAGTATCAAGAATGGCAATTTACATTTGTATCCCAGTAAACACCCCCCTTCTCGTGAATACAAATGATCAAGAGGAAGAAAAGAATGCTTTACCTACCACCCACCACCATCTCTGCGACTTCCCACAAATACCTACCCTACCCAAAATAAACACCACACCAGCATCCTCCCAGCCATGCGCATGAAAGAAAAGATCATTCCAAATCCTCCTCCTGCGTCCTAGCACAGTCCCCCTCCTCACCTCCTCACCTCTCCACTCCACCGCCGCGCCTTCCGCCCGAATCCACAAACCGAGGATATCCATCCATATCTATGAAACGAACGAGGACGCCATGATCCTATCCTATCCTCTAGCTTCGTAGCTAGTCTCTTTTTTAGGGAGGCGGTGGAGATTGCCGTTCGATGCGAAGGATTAGTATACTATTGAATACCTAGGTAGAGTATATGATTTATTATTGTCATGTGTCACATGCACAACATTTGGTAACGAGATTGATTAGTTTGATGTTGGAGAATTTTAGAGAGTTGTGTATGTATGTACCGAAGCTTGGGTATGTGCCGTGTGTAGGTAGGTAGGTAATTTATGGATGTATGTATGATGTGTAGATCTTAGCTAAGATTTTAAGTCCGAAAATGTGCGCGATTCATTGGTATTTGAAGGGTCAGGTCAGTTTTATGTTTTGTAGAAAAGAATGGTAGGTCTTGATTTGATTTGATTTGATTTCATTTCATTGGAGAGTGGAAATTAATGATATCAATAAATTCCTACATAGATACCTATCATAAACATACCTCCCTATACCCATTTCCCCAATCTCACTTCACACACAAACACAAAAGAGTAAACGAATCCTCCTCTCCTCCTTTCCCCAACACCACAATCACAACCTCAGCAACCCCCCAAATCCAAACCTCAAACCTTATGAAATGGCCACGTAGTACTCCGTGCATGCATATTCCCATCCCATGTTTAGATCCGACCAGACTGGCGGGCTCTTCATACAGCAAGTAACATAATATCTGCAAAGGTACTCTACATAGGCATATCAACTTCCTGATTCAGAGACACAGGCAGGTGTTATTATCGATATTACTGTGGAGTAGAGTGGTATTGGGCTGCCGAGAGCTGAGATGCGATGGGAAATTTTACAGGCTTTCTCCAGAGCCAAGGATAGGTACTTGGGGGTTATTGGTCGAGATATTCCTGGGTTTGGAAGATAATAAGGGTTCTATGGCTCCTGAATTCTTTGGATTCTTGGAATTCTATCTCGGTGTAGATGAATATCGATGAGATATCACATGATCGATCATCCACGTGTTAGTAACAAACGCTGCCGTGCGAATAAACTTCTTAAGTTGTTGCTGTAAACATACCTAGGTATCTAGGTAGTTCACACGGAAATGGTTCACATCCTACCAGATTAAAAACTTGGAATGTCACCACCCCCTATAAAATCTGGAGACATGTCCGGATGAAAAAGCAAAAGCAAAACGAAAAAAGCGGAAAAGTATCCCGAGGATCCAAACTATTCCTTTTTCGATACCGAGATTTTCGTGCTTCTAATTGTCACTTCATGCCATGCACATTCTTAACGATTAGTGTTAGTAGTATACGGAGGTATTTATCTTTGTTCTTTATCTTCTCCTCTTCTCCTCTTGCTTCATTCCAGAAAAACATGATATCGTATCGTATCCTACTTCGAGAATTCGGTACTTGAAGATTCTTTGTTTCAAATCCCAAAATGCCATCATATCTTCACACTCCTTGAAACCTTTTTTCCGTTGATCCGCAAACGTTCTATTCTTCACAAATAGACACTAGGTATATACGTCAAAGCGTTGACAAACATTATACCTGGGCATGAGAGTGCTGGCTTACTTTAAGGTTTTGAAAAAAGAAAAGGTATTTGTGTAACGTTTTTATGTCTTGAAAAATGTTCATCGCGTGAACTTGTCCAACTAACTTTCGAAGCTGTAAATGCTTGGTGTACCTAGGTATAAGCTTTTCTTTCGTATTGGCGCGGTAAAGGTAAGCTAGTCTGCACTCCGTACATACTGCAGTACTAGCTCTGTAACCCCTTGACTCCAATTCGATGCTTGTTACCAGGGTATTTGCATTTCTGCCATGGGGTGTAAGCATACGTTGAAATTCGCTATTCGATGAAATGGGGTGCATACTGGAAGACGAACCTCCGTTGCACTCGCTTCGGTCCATTCGACCCTTTCACAATTAAAATCATTAGAAGAGTCGGGAATCCTCCACACGAGTTGGCTGGGATGAGGTTGGAATCGCGATTATATGCATGTTTTAGATGTGAGTCAGTCAGCTTTCTGTTTTTTTTTCGGTGTGCAACTCCCGTGTTTCTTTCTCTGTTCTTCGGTGATCCTACGCACGAATGGGTGTACCTTTCCGGGAATCCACCCACTAGTTTTGTTGAATAGATTGAATACTATCATGTTCAACCGATGCAAGTAAGTAGAGAAAAGCAAAAGGAAAGCCTAATGTATAGTCCTCGTGTAAGTAACATTGCTCCAAACTTATGGTGGTTCTAGACTTGAGAATTAGCATTTTTATGAGACTTTTCTGTCCGTCCCATAAGGCTTCTATGATTGGCGCTTATAATTCCTCCTAAAGGCAAACATCCGGTATGGCATAATCAGGGGTTGGTATAAACCCTACCCCGTACACAGTCAACCTGGAGATAAAAGCACCCGTCAGCTCGGCGACAAACCATCCTAGCTTTCAACAAAATAACAACGTTTGACCGTAATACGGTATCCAGGGCAGTATCCGGGGTGTGGACTCAAAATCAATACTTGCAACCGAGTCAGCTACCATCAAAACGTTGAGCTTCTCCCGAGTTTGATGGATCGTAAATGGTTTTGTAATCGTTTACTCCGTACATCCCGTGACAGTTGCCATTCGATTCCCCAGTTTCTCCTCATCATACCCACTCGATCAACACAGACCAATTTTGATGATTGGAAATGTGAAAATTTAAACTCTATAAATCCTAGCACAAATGATATCTGATATCACAAGGTTTTCGGATAAAATGGTTAAAGAAGGGGCGTGTGATTCTTGGTGTAGCTCGATGCCCCTTTGAGTTTAGTTTCTCTCCCGAATGAACTTTGATCGTCATACCATGACTTTTTGGAACAATAATGGAAATGTCCCCTCGAAATATGGACACTATGGAAACTATGGATACCTCCGCAGTAACCACACTTCTCAACCATACGATGTAGAATTTGATATAATGCTCACTAATGAATGGTCTTTGTCAAGCCAATTACAAATCTTCAAACAATAAACTATGGCGATTTCTCTTGTGGCTGCCACTGCAGTATCATTGCAGAATACTAGTATAACTCGATGTACAGAGTAAACAGGCTGATCTGAGAGGTGAATGGGAAGATTGCAGGTTGTAGGTTGTAGATTACAAACGATCCCCTTTTGGCTACTTCCCTTGGGCTACTTCCCCTTGGCTACTTCCCCTTGGCTACTTCCCCTTGGCTACTTCCCTTTGGCTACTTAGCTTCGGGAAGGACAGATATCACGGTCAGGAGTTTCACCCAGGGATTCCAACAAAATGATACAGGGGAAAAGGGACTCGATATCAGACAGAACATGTTAATCACGACCACCTCTTCGGTATCAAGGACCAACGGATGAGGCGAATCTGGAGACTAAAGCATCCCCATACTCCGTAAACAATGGCGAGACAAATCTAACAAGACCAACAACCAACAAAAATCAAAAATCCCATTTCATTTCCCCACAAATGGACATTTTTCAATTTAGGATTCATCGTAAATCCGACTCAAGCTAGGATAATCGGCAGGGGACCAATATGCAAAGAGATTTCTTGTGGATGACGAGGTCAAGGATTAAAACGATACTCCATTCGGCATGTCGTGTGTCGATGGGACAATCATTACGAAGTTCTGTTTTTCTATTGGAGACGCAACAAAGACGAGAAGATCGGATTGGTCAATGCTACATCAATTTAATGACTTAATTCTTCGCAAATTGGTACTTGGATTACTCAAATTTCAATTTTTTGGTAATAAACATAGGCAACATGACCGCGGTACGTACAAGCTTCGCCCCGGATTGTATGGAGCAAATAAGCAAGCTTCCTTACCCCAAAAATCAATTCCCCCCTCCCATTCCCCATTTCAGACGATGTACATGCTACCGACCTAGGGACCCTACCTAGTAGCTTGCTAATTCACGTATATAGCTCGATATCCTTCTCCCCTCTGATCCTTTTGTCAGAAATTCGATTCTTTTTTTCTCATTTACTTTTTGTGTATTCACCAATTGTATTCCTCTTTATTATCCAGCAAAAAGATCGAGCTACAAACTTTGGCTCCTATACCACCATATCATATTGTCAAGTTCGATTTGTTCACAACACAACATATAAAAGTCGACGATTAAATTCATCATGGCTACCACCGCCACCACAGACAATAATGGATTCAATAAGGAATACACCAGTGAATCTGGTCTGAGTCATACTCAGGACCATGCCCCTGTCAATGGAGGAGGTGTTAACAGTAACCCCAATGCCCACGCCTCAAGGGGATATGATTATGGAGGAAACCCATTGGCACATATGAATACTGGAGAGTCCGCCCGATTCCCAGCATTTGGTGGAGAGTTTCAACCCGGTCTCTATAAACCTACGACGGAAAGAAAATTCGCCAATCCGGCGCCTTTGGGTCTCAGTGCTTTCGCTCTGACTACCTTCGTCCTGTCTCTCATCAATATCGGAACGGCTGGTGTCACCACACCTAGTATTGTCATTGCGCTTGCTTTCGGTTATGGTGGTCTCGTTCAATTGCTTGCTGGCATGTGGTATGTAGTTAATACCTGCTGAGCTCAGATATATCAAGAGGATAACACTAACAACTTTACAGGGAAATGGCAGTAGGAAACACTTTCGGTGCCACCGCTCTCTCATCATACGGAGGATTTTGGATTTCCCTCGCAATAGTCCTCACACCCGGTGGATTCGAGATTGTATCCTCATACGAAGGCGCCGGATCTGGCGTCAACGATTTCAACAATGCTTTCGGATTCTTCCTCATGGGATGGTTCATCTTCACAACCATTCTCTTGATATGCACATTACGTTCTACCGTTGCATTTTTCCTGCTCTTCTTCTTCCTCGACTTGGCTTTCTTGTGTCTCGGGATCGGTCACTTGCGAGCTAACGCTGCGGGGGTGGCTCTCTCCGGTGCGATCAAGGCGGGTGGGTATTTCGGCTTGTTTGCTGCTTTTATGGCCTGGTATAATGCTTTAGCTGGTCTTGCAGATGACAGGTATGTTCCACATCCCCATTTCAACATGAATTCATCAGCTAACATTGTTTCTCTTCCAGTAACTCCTTCTTCGTTATTCCAGTCGCTCATTTCCCATGGTCTGTCAAGGGCCGCGAACGTCGTGGCAAGACTGAGCGCGAGACAGTCTAAATTTCTCCGAGGACGAGAATTTTCTTTGCACACACACATACGCATCACCAAAAGAATAAATAAACATTTTACGATATTTTCTGGAGATGGAGATGGTGGTTTTCATGAGTTTGCATGTTTGGTTACTGGGATACAGATATCGGATATCGGATATCGGATTCAAATGATGGATAGTTTACGATACCAGTGCGGATGAACAGGACGGGCATATATGCATGTATGCATGCGTATATGTATGAATGATGGGTTAGCATATTTTCCTCTTTTCCTGAAATACGCAGAGATCTTGTTATATCATATGATATGATATGATACGTGTGCTGCGAGATCGGGACAAAGGATAAGGAATATCGAGTTATGAAGTTGAAGTTACCTTCATGTCTTAGGAATGGAATAGGGATGTGATTAATTGATTTACGGATTATATTATTACCTTTTAGTGCTCTTTTAATACATAATTTTGTTCATGATGAGAGTTGGGTGATGGATTTATATACTGCTGATTGATGTGTTTGTTATATCTGTGCGTGCTTTGTGATTTTGATTTTAACTTTTCGAACACAAAAATTAAATTGAGTTGGACAAGTGTGGGAAGACTATCATTATTTCAACGCTTCCTCCCTCTCTAGGCCTCTCTAGGTAGATATGCATACTTGCATTTTCATAAGATCTTACATTTGCTCTCGCGTCTTGTTATCATTTACCACTTATCATTTATCATTTATCCCCTCATCTATCCCCTCATATCATCTTCTTATATCATCTTTTCAAATCATCTCCTCATCCCTTCGCCTATTTCCTATCTCCTGTTCCCTGTAGCATAGTATGATGTAATAGTAGTATCCCGTTTCCATGAGCTATCGCATACGTTACTCAGTACACTGCCTGCGTGCGTGCGTGCGTCAGAAGTGCTGATGTGGAGTTTATGTTAGGAGTTTGAGGATGGGAAGGTGAAAGGTGGGAGGTGGGAGGTGAGATACTTGGTTATTGGGTGGGTTTGATGGGGAATAGGGAATAGGGATGCTGGACGTTGGATGTTGGGTGTTGGATCAGATCCGATTGATTTGTGAAGTTATTTGTTCGTTGTGTTGTGGGATGGGATGGTAGCTTTATTTGGATGTTTGATTTGTTTTAGAACCTATCGATAAAATCTTTGGAAAGTTTGGGTATAGCGTAAGAGAGATGCTCTTTTTACACTAGGTCAATTATCAAATCAAAAATTTATATGGTTATGGGAAGATTGTATGGTAGCATGAGGGGGTGAGAGTGATTGTATGAGATGAATTAGTGTAATCATAGGCTTTGAAAGAAAAGGGGGGAGGGGGAGGTCGCAAGGGTTTTCCTTTTTGTGTCTGTACGTCTATTCCTTTTTCTTTCCCATTTCTGGGCACAAGGACTTTAGAACAACGCGGTGCAAACTCTCCCACAATAATAGTTAAGAATTCATCTTATTCTACTTTACATTTTCACTTCCTCTTTTAATTAGCCACTTTATATTATCATATCCAACTCTCAATCCTATCCCACCGACCCCCCACGCCTCCGTACTCCCTTCACTGCCATCCATATCTGATTAGAACTGAAAACTCCCAGACCCCAACACATATCAATCAAACTCCCAGGAAACTCTCGGTGGAGGTAGAAATCGAGACAGCGATAATTTGACAATCCCGACACGTTGGAAAATGGCAACTGATGTGATTGTGATCATCCTGTGGTGGCCACAGATTATCTGTGGAATTGACGCAGACGTTTTGTTCACGAATCTGCACTGGCGTGAAGATCTCCACGTTTTGAAACTTCATGAGAGTATGATAGTTCATGAATCAGTCCTCTCATACCAAAGGCCTTTGTATAGAACCTAGATATACTGGAGGTGTTAATGGCTATAGTGGTTAAAGCCACGCTCGATGGCGACAAGGGCCGCTTCCGCTGCGATTTTGAGCCAGTGGCCCTGGTGCCATCTGTCGATGGGTAGTTGTCCTTTGAGGACACCGTGGGATACGGCGGTATTATTGGCACGGGCACGAGCAAAAGAATGATATGCAGCGAAGAGGGCGATTCGATGTGATAAGTTCCTGTTAATAGATGATCAGCAAGGCTGCATAGATGTCTCTCGGCCATCTTGATGAAGGAGATATTGGCAGCTCAAAAATGGAGGGGTTTGTAATATGGCAGGCACTGATAAAGTGATCGACTTACATGTGTTGTGGTGGTAGCGGTGACAGAGCCGTCCAACAATAAAGATCGCCAAATCCCCAAACCAATTTAAATATTCGAATCATTTGAGATGTTGAATTTAATTGGAACATTGAACCATGTTCAGATTTCTAATTGCTTTTAGATATTCAAAGCCTGATATTGTTGGACTGCAGTCTGGAGTACTGGATACATTGGGCCGCGGTTGTGGTGGTAGTTGAGAGAAAACAAGGAAAGAGGGAGATCACGGTCTTGTTATACAAGTTGATGATCCAGTCCTTCTTTCCTACCCGTTGGGGCCCCAGGAGAGATATGAATGGAAGGAAATTTGTCGTCATGTCATAGCAGGAAGTAATGTCAGCTATGACTGTAGAACTAATGAGATGTGAGCTAAATTTGAAGAATGCTCTGAATGATTTATGTCTTATGTCGAGGTGATAGCTACTTTATAGTATGTATACCTTTATCATTTGGCTACCTAGGCACCTATGCCTTCTCAGCTTTGATATAGTTCAGTGACCAAAAGTCTCAGTCTACATTTTATACATACTGGAGTTACTTAGCAGGCACAATATAGCAATACCTAGGTAATAATCAAAAGCATATTAGTGGTGAACTATATAGAAACTGGATCAATCAAGACATTATTACCTTAGTGAGTTTGAAAGTCATGTTCGCTGATTATTTAAGTATCTGTGGTGGTTGGGGTATTTTCTACGTTGCTCATGCCCCACGACTCTGGATCTTGATCACATTGTTGGAGTTCAAAGCAAAGCCAAATTCAGCGTACAAGATATACAATCTTCAAAGAATTAGTAAAACAATTGAGAAAGTAACTATTAGTGTTGGTATCGACTTGGTTGATAAGTGTAAAGTACTTTAGTCTATTATGGTTGTAATCGTTCTTGATCATTATTATCTATGGGAAGCTAGTACTTTATATAAGGAAGCGCTAACGCCTCGCTAGCTAATACAGTGCCCTCCGTGATCACATGATCGATATCCCGATAATTAGATTAAAGCAACTGAGGGCTTTCATAATCTGTAACTATTTTCAAAGTAAGCTATATCATAGTGACAAAATCAATTGATGTTCGAAAGGATCAATTGAGGTGTGTTTGTGAGCGGAAGTAGTGATAATCCTGGTGATCAAAAAATGATTGTCACCTTTAAAGAAACGTTTCGCATATGATCATCGGGCAATCAGTAAGATACATATACGCAACGTATGCCTGGGGAAGGTTATAACCAACCTGGTGACCTGCCTTTTTCTACATGCATGATGCTGTTGGCAAATTTTCGCCAAACAAGATAGCAAATATTCCCAAAAATGTATACAAGCTCAATAAAATGGTATCTAAAGTAGACTTCTCCAAAGTTTGTCTCGTAGCATGATCACTCATCATAACCCTATGTCTTGCCAACCGTGCAATAAAAAGGCAGCAACAACCGCGGGATCCGATGTCACTTGCTAGAAGGAATTATGCTCATATACTTACAAAGTTTCACATAACTTCTTTTAAATTTCTCAAGAATCACCCCCAAATCCATGGGAAAATCACGGCGAACGACTGCGCCAAGTTCTAAATTATTACTAAGCTAATGTTGTATATCGTAAAGACCTATCACTATCATTCGACCTTAAGCGATGTACACCCCTTACTAGACTTTATCCTCCTAAACGAGACACCCATTCACCATAGAGAATTCGCTGTACCTAATCCGAAATACTAACCCCTTGCAGTCTGAGTAAGATTTATACAGCGGTCATGTATAGCATCATAAAATAATGCACGTGTGAATTATCGGGCTGTACAAATTTGACAGCTTTGAATGGTAATTCCGAAGATCATCTGATCGGTACAATAGCAAGATGTATTTTTATTTGAATAATATCACTATACAAGAATATTTGAGCCATTCACAACATATTTCAATTCGAGAATCTAATACAAAGTTATATCCTAACATCAGGGTGGGCTTCGCTCGTGTTCTAGGTCAATCTAGATGCGACTCGGATATGCATTTCCGGTTGCTTTGTAGAAGTTATGGATTATGCAGAAGACTAGCGTTGACAAGCTATGATCTAGGGAAACATAATTTTCATTCGCTCAAAAAAGAGTCTAACTCAATCTTATTCCTGCTATTTTGCACCAATCATGGAAGAAGACTCCCTCTATAAAGTCTAGTGAGTAGTCTGGGTTTTCTGTAGACCCACTTCGGAACTTTTTGATTTTTTAATTGGTAATATTTAGCAACCCCAAAAGTTACATGTACACGCTAGACATCCTAGTAAGATGGCCTTCCAAGACGACTTATCAGATTCAGAAGTTTTGTAACTTGGTGTTGAACACGTGCTGCGTCAGTACTAGTACACAAGCTAACTTGTCCATCTCTACGAGCTATACCGTAGAGTTTTCCTCCACTCAATGTTGCACATTCGCACTTCCATTCCAACATATGTGGATAAGTCCAACTTGACGATCATAGTGATAGGATTACTCCCAAGCAAGGTCGTATTTTGCATTGGAGATTGGATTTATTGGAGCAATGCCATAGCAAAAGCATTGCAGCGAATAAGTCAGCCACGGTAGCGATTAGAATTCCAATCATTACTCTGTCTCTCGAGTATCAGTACTACCCCTGTGTTCAGTTCTCTTTCCTGGAAAATCTCTGAAAGTTATCACAGTTCGATTTCTTCCACACTGGCAGCAGTAGAATTGTGAGTAACCTATAAAACATAGCGCTATTAGCGTACCACTAGTACATATCACAGTTGGTGACGTACAATAACTAACTTACCGATCAGCGTTTATTTCACTAGTTATCTAGGATTTTATATATAATATTAAAACCGTACCCATGGCAGATTTTTCTTTGCGCACAAATTATTCATGGTTATCTTACAATTTGATGTTTCAGAGGTTCTAATATATATCATTGATATCGCTTGATTCACATAACAATACAGTCGCTCGCTCAGTGTGATTATTTAGAATTGAATACATCAGCTGGATTCAGTGCATACTCGTGCCATTCTTCAATCCCAAGTAGTTGTGATAATAGGACTTCCCAGCACCTCAAATATGTCCTTACTACCAAAACATTTTCAAATTGATAAGTTCAACAGCAGCATTGAGTTTCATATCAAAACTTGAGCATTCACATCGACAAAGCAAGACCCTAAAGCTTCGCAACACCACTTCAAGGAACCAAACCACTTGAACTATTCGCATATTCAGATAACCAAGAGGATGTCTACAACCTGGGACGTCGTGTTCACTGAAGAGTTCGATGAGAACTTTGGAATGGGCCTAGACGATGAGTGCGAGAGATACTCAAAATTGGTATGTCATTACCCTTTTATACTATTTGAATGACACCCTAACATAACAATTATAGTATAGTATATCAGATCTCGCAGAACTTCAGGGCTGGAACCGAAATCTTTCAGATAATGATAACGAAGACACTGAAAGCTCTTCATCGGACAGCATGCCAAGTCTCGTTCCTGCTAGCGAGGAAGGGTCAGATTACTATACCTCCGACTACAACGATGAGATTGAGAGCAAATCGGGTACCGAAGTTGACTTCTGGGCCGTGTCCCAAGATGAAGGAGACCAGATGGGTCAAGAAAGTGGTCCCCTCATAGACTGGGACTTTGAAAATTCCGATGGTATGTTCTCACAGTCCGATCTTATTGAAAAGTATGCTAATTATTTCAGAACCTATGGAACAAGAGCCATTATTCAAAACCTTCATGATCGATACTCCCGAAATCTTTGACGAGTTCCTGCCAGTTTTGTCACAGCTAATGAAAGACATCCCAGAGCTCGGATATGACTGCGAGGGTGGAAAGAGTTTTGGTCGTAACGGAGTCCTAACGTTTTTCTCAATGTCAATTCTTTCTCGGAGAGAGACATACATCATAGATGTCTTGGCACTCACGAAACTCGGAACACAAGTCTTCGAACAAGAGAATGCAGAAGGGCTATCGTTAAAGAAAGTTTTGGGATCAAAGAAATATCTACAACTTTGGTTTGATGTTCGACAGGACTGGGACACCCTGTATCACTTGTTTGGACTTACACCAGGAAGAATCCTTGACCTCCAATTACTTGAATTCTTGTCACGCAGAGGTTCAAAAGACAGTATTATGGGATTATTCAGAATCATTAGGGATCATGGCAAGGCTTTCATGAGCAATAAAGCGCATGAAGATTGGTTAGATGAAAAGGAAGAAGGTCGTCAATATTTCAGCGGCCACGAACTGGGGTATGGTGTTTTGGAGGAGGAGCGACCTATCAGCGAGACCACTAAGAGGTACATTGCAGGTGATTCGGATTGCATGTTCCATCTATACTTCCATCTCGAGGTGCAGTTGAGAAATTGGGTGAAGGAAATGCAGATAAGGATTCCCGAGAAGACTACCGAATCTGCGGAAAAGAACACAGAGTTGTCAGACGCCAAACAACATATCGAGGCTCCATTCATCATAGAGTCAAGATTGTCTACAAGTAAGCCAGAAGAATCTACTGAGATTTCTTCTCCAGTCGAGCCACGTCGCAGAGAGGATTGGTTGACTTTCGTTGAGGAGCAATCAATGCTTAGGGCCGAGCTCGCTATGGCCCTTGAATATGACCCCAATGATGAAGATAGAAAGTATAGCGCACCAGAAGCATTTCTAGAGATCTCACGACAACAAAGTGATCCTGAAAGAGCTGCTGCGAGGCTTGCCAAGGAAATTGAGTGCTCACTGTTAATTTGAAAGAGCTAGGCAGTGGTTATATGAATGTTATATGAGAGAACCAGAAACATAAATGTTTTAATTGGATATTGATAGGATGTAAAATATCCATCGGATAACAATTTGTTGAAGAATTATAATAATATAGCGTATTGAGTCTGTCATAGAAACAATAAATCAACATTTTCAATGATCACTGTTTTTACACTCTATGGTGAACTTTATATACATTTACAATGTACAATACTGTCTAATCAGGTACGTCATCGACAATATCATGAACGAGATCTTGTAACCTGTAGAGTTCACTGTACTACTCTCTATATAATGAATTGATACCGTACACCGGCAAATCATTCAATATCATCTCTCAAATCGACGATATAGCGGATCTTATATCATCAATATCGCTTGATTCACACAATTATACGGTTCGCTTATCCAGTACAGTGATTGACCACTTGAATACAGCTAGCCAGATTCGGTAAATGACTGTATCAGTTGTTAGTCCAAAGTAGTTATAAGGATTAGATTCTCCTACAAGTCAACATTTTTTTCGTTCTCACAACAAACTTGACTTTGATAGCTTTCATCAAGCAGAATCTTGTACTCTACTTGAAGAACCATCAGCACGATCCGCCTACAAATACCTGTTTATTACAGCAACAGTGCTTCATACCAAAGACATCCTCCCACAGAGCAGACAGATTACCGCACGAATATGTCTTCCAATATCGAACGTACCTACCTAACAGGATTTATCGAAGAAATGCAACATTCGATTGAGACATTCGATCAGAATTAAATCTCTGTTGACAATGTCTCTGAGTCCCACTCAGCATCAGTATGTCCCTGGCACCTATGCTTATTTGCTTGTATACTAACTTATTAACTTTAGCAGGACACAAAGCACAATCCCTACCTTGAGTGGGCAGCTTCATGGTCGGACTACGTCGAAGAGATTTTAGCCGAAAAAGAGCGTGATCTTGCATTAGAAAATGGAGATTCCAGTGAGGACTTGGAGTTCCAATGCTATGAATTTGATTGGGACGTCACTCGTAACTCGGACGACTCAAGACCTCAGTCAGGTGATTCATGGGAGAGACAACCCATGGTATCATTTGCTGATGAATATGAAGCACGAATGGTTTATCATTGAGGATGGTTCTTGAATCCAAGGAATATGGACAGGTTTGGTGGGATGTACGAAACGACTTCGAAGCGCTCTCTCACCACTACAATATTCATCCGCACTTCGATCTAGACCTTCAGCTTCTCGATATCATGTCAGCTAGAGGTAACAGAGCTAGGTTGAATAGCCTAATAGCCTCTGTCCGCAAAAACCAAGCCGGAGAGTCGAGAATGAACGACCCAACTATGTGGCGCGGATACAGTGGAAAATGGAGCTCAAAGAAGAAAGAAGTGAAAGATTACCTTGACTGGAATGGCTTCGAAGCATTAGAGACAAGACCAGTCAACCCAATCTTGATTCTGGGTTGTCGCATTGATACAGAGATTCTGCCAGAATTGTTTGATCATCTACTGCAACGGCTTGAGAAGACCACTAATGAAATGATGATGGGATACCCAGAGCTATTTCTTAATATTGTTCGAGAAGAATCTTGGATCAGAGCTCAGGCGGTATGGTCAAGAAAAAGTTCCAATGTTTACGTCGCTGGTATCTGTCAAGAGATCATGAATCATCCCAGGACTCAGTCACCACCAATCTTTACGATGTTACCACAAGTGATTGCGGGAATCCGAGAGGATGAGTTTATGATCGGTTTCGAGTAAACCATGGAGAAGATGAAACAAAGTGTTTCTCGATGGCGATGTTGTTTCTCGATGGCGATGTTGAAGCTATGTAATTTGCTTGGCGAAGAATGGGCCACCTCGACGAAAGCTCCCTGCCAGCTTTCAGACAATGTCGTTTATGGAAATACTGTGGTGTTTTTGGACAATTAATTGTAGCTAGAGGCAGATATAAGAGGTACTTCCAGTAATTAGTAGATAGTGGAATCAAGTATGGCATGCTGACATGTCGTATTCGTGGTACTTAATAGAATAGAATCAATATTTGAAGAACGCGAATGTTTGAGATATTAACATCTTCCACAAGATACAAATCATGTGCATGGTCCATGAAACTTCATGGGGTTTGGTGCTTGCTACTCTGCGCTTATATAAAGAAACGATGTAAAAACAGAAACTATGGGGGTGTTTTGGTGCAACCACTTGAACTATTCGATAAATTTCCATCCATTGAATGAGCATCGGAGCATGCAGTTATCCAGAGCCGGCGAGCTTATGAGCCCAGTAGATGTCAAATGTAACAATAGAGAGGGTCGTCTCAGGAAGCTCGATTAACGAGAGTGCATTTGTAAGTCGCAGAAGCAGTAAAGGCAATAGCAATAGCATGGATAGGAAAGAGAAATGGTCAAGTAATTGTGTCTGTTTGAATTGAAGGTCAATGTCAATGTCAAACTCAAAGCCTAAGCATCGACACACGCGCGATCCGCGTTCTGTAAATCATTAGTGGATGTGTACGGACTGGCGAAACACTCCAAAAAATTGATTGAGCATTATCACCTGAAATCTCAGTTTGTAAAATCTGAGAATTCTTACAATGTTTTATTAAAGGTCAAACAATGAAAGGATAGATTCTGATACCAAGCAATTGAAAAATGGATTTATTACACATTTTGAAAGTTGAGAAGTTTCCCGTCGGTCCATGCACCTAGCCATTGGTGAATCAAGCTAGCGCGTCTCCTCGCGTAAAGTGGCTCCATCAATCTCGTGTTCCAGCCTTCTCTAATTCTTCCATCAATTCAACATCAAATCCCTCGTCTTATTCAATCTATCAGTTCCTTTTGTTATCAATAGTGTTAAGTTATCAGCTCAACTAAGGCTTATTTCACGACGTCAATAATCAAAATGTTTCTCAAGCGCAAGCGTTCCGAATCCGAGATCTCAACCACTTCATCTCTCCTATCCAGTCCTCTACACTCCAACAACTCCAATTCTATGCATATTGATTCTCCATCAATAAGATCACCGAATCTTTTCTCCTCTCGTACAAGGAAGCGTCATAGAGATAATCGACCAAATGAAGACACCGTCCATCGTATGTCCTCATTCTAACAATCCAACAGCTGTGCGTCAGATATTAATCAACTCTACAGAACATACCCTCTCCCTCCTTTATTCAGCGCAGCAACCTTCAAATATAAATACAAATTGCATGCCACCGCCCTCGCCTTCGGCAATCTCACCACATACCATAATACCTAACCCACCAAATAACGCTCCACACCAAGCCTCACTCCACTCTTTCTGGCAATTGCCATCAAACCGTCAAGTTTCACCGAGTAGTGATTCTTCTTATACATCATCCACATCTGTTTCTCCTAAGACTATCACGCATCCTCACCTAATACCGGCCAATTGCGAGGATTGCGATGCATCACTAGCGAATACGGAAGGGGGTGACGAAATGGATGTAGATACTATAATGGACATTGATATGTATGGAGCTGGAGAGACAAATCATGCATGTACGAATTGTGGGAAACAAGTTTGTCACTCCTGTGCCGTGAGTAACTTGGGAGTGGAAAGGAAATGTTTGGGTTGTGCAGGGAGTAACAGAAATGAAAGGAAATGGGTTGGAGGCTTGGGGTGGATGAATTAGAAGTGGAGAATTGAATTGGAAACAAAAGCGAATACCCGGCGTGCGTTTAGTTGAAGAAATTTGTACGGATTCACCGTTGTTTATTCTGCTTGGATGTCTACAGCTTGGCGTTAGAAGTTATGAAGCGGCTTCTTTCTTATATCAGGATTTACTAATCTCCAACTCCTTAACGATGATAAGATTTTTCTAGATTGTATAGAATCAAAAGTATGAATTAATCCTTACTCATTTGATCCCTTGTCAACAAATTAGCAAGTGCTTCAAAGATGACTTCGAGCCACAACACAGAGGTATCCCGCTCACGTACTCATGACTTCTCTACTCAAAACTAGCCGTCCATGTCGCTTCTAGAGTATTCCCCCCCAGATCTGCCCTTTCCTATTGGAAGACATGCTAGATTACAAACCATTAATCTCCAGGCGCTATCCTCCTTTGATTTGATTCTATATTTCTACTGTATAATTGCCCTATCTACGCATCTATACATTAATAGAGAATAGGGCTATAACCTCTCATAAGATCTACAAGTAGTTAGTAAACTCCCCGCATCATGATTGGTCAATAATGAGCGAGACTTTAGGGTCTCCAAACTTAATATGACAGTTGTTTCAAGTGACACTGTGTGACATCGGCAATGCAAAGGACTATATCATCGCGTTGATCACATGATATCTCGTCTGATGTCAATCTTTATATTGAAACCATTCTTAACATTTGAAATGATGCAAACGGTATCATCTAGTTGAATATATTTTAGTATATATATGATTCTTGTTATAACTTATAACACAGCAACATCGAGATGATACAATATGATATGACAATGCGACTGAATTGATGTGAAGGTCATTTCGAATCCGTAAAGCGAGTGCTTTCCAAACTTCCTGGATAGAAAGCAGACGCGTTCCCGCGAAAGCAAAGTTGCGGAATTGTTCCATCATTATTCTGATCCACCACATTCGCTAGGTAGATAGAAATCGATTCCATTATGAAACAAGAATATCATCAGAGTAACATCCGTTCATATCCTACATATAAGACACCCTCCTTACTACCACCTTCACGTTCTTCTTTCTCCCCTTTGCCACCCTGACTCTCACAACCCATACCCCCGAGTATTCTGAATATCTTCCCGTCCAAAACTCCCCGATCCCCAATCCCGAATCCCAGACCCAAATCCTCAGAATGTGCAAAAGCATAATCTTCGATTTCGAGTGTTCCCACTACGAGCGTCGACTCCGTCTCTGTCCGTATCAACGTCACACCCAATGTTTTCCAGAAGACTGTCCCTATTTCCATCGTGTAGATAGGGAGGCGAGGAGAAGATGTGTACGGTGTGTTGTGAGGAGAAGGAGAACGGGGAGGATAGATGGGGGATGTTGTGGGGCTATGTGATGGAGGTGATGATGGATGATGGATAGGTAGGTAATGCGATGAGTAGATAATATTTAGCAGAGAGCTAGGGTTACTGTGATAAGTACTACGGCTTTCTTTGGTAATGAAAATAGGTATGATTACATAGAAATACAAATGCAGATACAGGTATACGAAAATAATAAATTCTTAAATGGAATACAAAATGTAAAGATTGAATGGATGTGACTTGAAGTGAATTCAACCCTTCAATGATGTTCAGAACAGTTCAGGTACACTACACTTAGGTAGGCAATGTAAGAACAGAACAATGCTTTATTCACTCACCTCTCATCACAACAGAGAGAAGCCTTGCTACTACCTACCTACACACCAATATTTGGTAACACGAGTTCGCTTAAGCTATCTACTTCAATCTCAATTTCATTAGAAGAGAAAGAAATCGAAACCCACTTATCACCTATTCCAATGAAAGGAAATATTACCCAAGTCTTGAAGATTCTCGTTTCTCGAAGACACTCGACATATACATGTCGAGATCATTCTTATTTACAGATTCCGGTACTTTATTAAAACAAGAAAATCACCCAAATGCTGGTATCGAACGTGGGTACATACATGGATTGGATAGTATAAAAAATTCGAGTATCTTCAACATCGACACTATCTCACCCCATCCAATCTCATCCAATTTTCAGAGTTAAACTTACAAGTTCAACCTTGGAGTCAACATTACAACTTTCTGTCTATTGTATAAGGACTTCGAAAAGGTATTCTTCTCATTTTCCACTTCCAATAACCCTTCTCTTCCAACCTTAATTCTTAATCTCCAAATATCCAATCTCGTCAATACTATCTCTTTCCTCTTATTTCTCTTCAGAGTAGCACCCTCAGTACTTATGTACTAGAACATTCAATATTCCCTATATCATCTCATCTCCTCCCCTCTCACTTCACATACAACCCAACACCCGTCGACCAAGAACTAAACCCAGCGCCCAAATATCCCATCACTTTCACTTCCAACTCCACATTTCCATTCCCACCTACAAACTTGTCTAACTTCAGATAATACCCATCCCATACTTATTATCATTAGGTATCCCAATAACTTATTCTCTATAGGGTATTCTGTCCCATCCTATTCCATCCCATCCCATCCCATCCCATCCCATCATCTCTCACAAATTACTACATACCTTCCTATCGAAAAACTTATACTCACATTAAATAGACAAATAGACAAATAGATATACAAATATCAAATACTATAACCACCAAAACCAAAACCAAAGGCCAACTCCATCCCAGCCCCAGCCCCAACCTCACCCTTACATCAATCATCAATCATCAATCATCAATCATCAATCATCAATCATCAATCATCAATCATCAATCATCAATCATCAATCATCAATCATCAATCATCAATCATCAATCACACCCATAAAACACCACCCCGGATCAACACATTCACTTCCCTTACACCCCTCTCACACCCTTCTCCATACCTCCCCACAAATCTTACACCACAGAAACCAAAGCAAAGCAATCAAAAAAAAAAAAGAGAAAATCCTCCTCAATCCTCTTCACAATCCCTTTCATCTCCCCTCCCATTTCTCTCTCCCCTCACCCTCACCCTCACCCCCACCCCAGTGCCTCTCAATTCCCTTCATCTCCCCTACAGCACCCTCCCTCAAAGTCTCCTCCCACTAACTACATCCCAAATTCC